TTTTTAGAGGTCTCAGTACAGAATTCACGCCAGCTGCGTAATTTCTCAGTCTTAATGGCGTGCTTGTAAAGTCGTTGGCTTGCTAGATATGCAGTTCTATGCATGTTACGCATGCGATTGTTCCTGCATCTTTGATAGGTTCTTCTTAAATGTCGAGTGGTTCGACGGAGATTTTCAAGCTCATTAGTCCACCATGGTACACGTCTTTTGCGTGGTGTCTTTTTAGGAATATATAAATCACATGTGTGTGTTATTGTTGCAATATTAGTGTCTATTTGTTGTCTAGCATCGATAGGACTCTCGGAATAATAGGATATCAAGTGTGTTTCCAGATAATCCTTTAATCCCAGCCAATCTGCACGATTTAGGGCATATTTCAAAGGTGGAGCATATGCAGGAGTTTGCCCGTCAACAGAATTGAACAGATCAAAAGAGATCAGAGCATGCTCTGTAAGAATGTCCTCAGAAAGGACTCTCCAATTATTAATTTTTGTGTAAGTTCTACTGCATCCAACCGTGACATCAATCCAACTCTCACCCCTATGAGAGGTGAAAGTCGGTGGAGATAGAGGATTATTTATAACTAAAAGATCATTATGCATAAAAAATTCCTCAAGTAAACCTCCTCGTCGGTCAAAGACTTCGCCACCCCAAGCGGGTGAGTGCGCGTTCAAATCACCAGCAATTAGAATGTGTGAGTCCCGAAATGAATCAACAATTCTCTGAAGACTGCTAATGTACTCCTCAGAGTCAGCATCGCCAGGAAAATAAGTGTTTACCACAATAAGATGAATTTCCGTCAACAATACTTCTAAAGTAATCATATATTGGTTACTGAAAGCAATGTGATGCATAACTGATATATGTCTATTTGGTACTAAGGATATGGCCCACGGATACAGATCAGTCCCTTGAAGGGCTGGACAATAAGTTGGAAGACACGCTGGAGTATTCCTGAGGCAATATGGTTCTTGAACCAACACAATATCATAATTATTAATATTCATACTTAAAAGTGAGGTAGCAGAAATGCTCCTCCCTACATTTATCTGCAAAAAACGTATTTTATTATAGTTATTCGGTTCCATATTCAGTTCTAGAAACAATAAAATTTTTAATACGCTGTTTAACAGGACAAAAGCCATCCCGTGCATTGTGTTGGTTGTTATGTATATTGTTACGCAAACAGTTGCAGCATTTTGGTTCATTCTCTAAGTTTGGACATTCGTTGAAAGAATGATTCCCCGCGCAATGACTACAAATATATGCCGATTGCGAGCAATCTCTAGCCGAATGGTGATATCCACAGCACTTGAAACACTGCAGAATCGGATGGAAATCAACGATTCTGCAGCGTGACCATTCAACATTAACTTTTTCCATATTTAAGAGGAGTTTTCTGACATATGGCGATGTTTCCACTATCCAGTTTATATATGTAGCGTTCTTTTTCCCTAAAACAAATTTGGATCTAAATTGCCGGATAAATTCTTCCTCAGATAAATTTTCATATATTATATGGTTCTGCTGATATATCAATTTAGGAAGGTCTTTCTTCGTTATTTCGTTGTGAACAGAATAAATAGCAACGTGTGGCCATCTTTTTTTGGGTCTTCGAGTTACTAGCTCTGGTATCTGTTCTTCTATGGTCTTTTCCAAGACTGTTACATCCCTATTAGTTCCCAATTCTATGGCCAGTCCCCCACCACGAACTTTCCTAAGTTTTTCTATACCTATGTGCATATTGGAGGGTTTTATCTTGATATTCATTAGTTTTCGGACAACTTCACTATTGTTGTTAGCCTTGTCCTTACTGTAAACAAGTAATATCTCTTTCGATGAATTTGTTTTGTGAGAAATGTTGCTATTGCCCATATTTCCACCAGTCTTTACAATCGTACTATAAAGTGATCAGGAAGAAATATATTGAAATGTTTTATCTTCAATTTTGTCCAGTTTCTCAAGGACAACTTTCTGTGTGTCAATAAAACCCTCAGGGGAGGCAAATCGGGATGTTTCATCCTGAATTTCTTTCAATCTATCCAATGTTGTCTTCTGAGCCTCTGAAAATTCTTCAACCGTAATAAAGCGCCTTGTATTATTTTCAATTTTATCTAGTCTCTCAAAAAGAGCTTTCTGTGTAGCAAGAATCCTTTCAAGGTTGGAATTTTGCATGACATCCTCCTTCTTGGCCAAAGAGGCAAGTCTTTTTTCTAAAATTTCTGGAAGTTCAAGATGCTGAAAAGTATTTTCCACTAACTTTATAACAGCAAGAAATTGGTCTGTTATATATTGCATGTGTGCGCCAGTATGGAGTTTTCCGTTTGGATTTTCAGAAATATATGTTTTAATCTTATCTAATATATTGTGTGCATTCTTGTAAAATGCTTCTATACAGCTAGATACCATATTATCAGAATTCATTACGGCAAATTCATAAATAAATAATCAAATAGAAATACAATATATAGAGAGAAATAAGTATATATATATATAATTATAAAGTATAACCACAATAATAATATAATATAATTTGTAAATAGCAATTTGAAAAGAAGGGAAATATAAGGAAAAACATACGAATAACCGATTATATACTTATCCAATTTTATGAAAATTAGCATCAAAAGAATTGTTATGAAACGCCGATTCCAAAAATATATAGCACTTTATATTATCTAGTAAAAATAAGCCTCCCCAATTAGAATTTAGAATTTAATGGAATAAATGGAATAATATGCAATGTTGAAATCGAACGTGATATTAGAATCTTCATAATTCAAAAACTGTCAGACAAATGTTTTCTCAGCTGCCTAAATAATACACAAACTGACAACTACAACTGCATCATTGATGTCAACAGTATTGTCCATTTCCTCAGTGATGTTAGCCAAAGAAAAAAATGCAAGCCAATCTGCCGTTTCCAGTTTTCAGCGTGGTGGAGGAGCTGTTTCACAGCTGTCTCTGCCTCGGTATTTTAGAAATATTGGGAAGTAGTAACCAGAGAGTGGATTACATCCAACCTCCCATGTAAATGCTGAAAACAGATTCAAAGTTGCTAATGATAGATCAATGGCAGTGAACGTTCTTGATGGGGCATGGTAGTATGTCACTTCTCCAGTATTAAATAGATGCAGTTAATAATTACCTATAAATCTCTCAATGGCTCTGCCTCAACGATTCATGTCAACACTGCCCCACATAGGATTGTGGCCATTAAAATCACCAAGTAAAAGGAATGGTGTTGGCAGCTGTTCAACCAAGGCATCCAGTTCATTCTCATTGACTCTGACGTCTGGTGGCAAGTATATAGAACAAACTGTGACAGTTACGCAAATTGAAATTTTGACTGCCACAGCTTGCAGCTCTGTTGTTATTTGTACCGGTAGGTATGGAATGCGATTTGAAACCAGAATAGCCACACCGCCACTGGCACGGTTGTGGCTATCATCTTCCTTGCAGTAGAGATTGAATCTTTTTAAAGTAATTCTTTCTCCAGGTTTCAGATGGGTTTCCTGGAGTGCCACGCAAAAAGATGAGGTAGATGATGTCAAGTGTTTAATGTCAGAGAAGTTAATGCGAAAACCACGACAATTCCATTGGATTATTTTATAATCCATTGTGTGTTTGAGGCAGCATTCTTCATGAAGGTATCCCTGTTTAGTTTTACAGCTGATTTGCCTTTTGGAGGTGAAGTTGGTGGTGTCCCCTTATTATTAGTCTCCTCGTCAGAAAACTCACTCATAGACTGAGCCTCTGCTCTCTTAGATTTGGAGATGGCTGCTTTTAATTTTTGTTTGTTGAGCGGGTTCTTAGCAGCCTTCTTAGAACCCACGTTTCTTGTTATTACCCCTGTTTTAGGTGTTTTGGTTTTCTTGCTGTACTTTTCTGCTGTTTGGGTAGATGGTATAAGCAAACATTTTTCATGGCGAGTTAGAGATTCATCTGGTGAAACAGAAATGTCTGTCTGAACTCCACATGTCTGTGGATTTCAGAACAGCAGCAAATGTCTTCTGTTTCACTGATGCATTTAAAGTGACCATGCATCGTGCCTATGCGTAAGGTATATTTTTCACCATTTTTACCCGCTGAATCTCTTTCTCTTTTTGCCACGTGGGGCATTTTCGAGAGTAGGCAGGATGAGCATCTTTGCAGTTGACGCAGCATGGAGTGGTTGAACACTCAGTATTCTGGTGGTCTTCAACTCCACACTGTGCACATAAACTTTTGCCTCGACAGGATGTTTGGGAATGTCCAAACTGCTGGCATTTGAAACAACTTAATAGGTTTGGAATCTATGGACAAACTGGACAGCGCAGATATCCTGCAGTAATGAAACATGGCAATGTCGGCTTGTTAAACGTGAGAATAAGATGTTTCGTTGGTATCAACTTGCCATCTTGACGAATGGAGAAACGTCGAACAGCAGTGACACCTTGGTCTGAAAGTCCAATCTGAATATCCGACTCTTCTTCAGACTTCAGATCAACCTCAGATATCACACCACAAGATGTGTTTAAACTTCCGTGTGGTGTAACAGTCACTTCCATGTCTCCCAGTGTCTTTGTTGTTAATAGTTTTGCTGACTGTTGTGGTGAAACTGTTTCTATGAGTAAATCGCCTGATCTCAATTTTTGTATTGTTATCAAATGTCCAATAGTCGATTCAAACAGTTTTTGTATTAAGGTTGGTTGGTTGGTTAGTTTTTGTTTTTTGGCACAATAGCCGTATAGGCTATGCTGCGCCAAGGCAAATGGTTAAAAAATTTTAAACATAATAAATAACTAACATATGGCAATAATAACTAAATAAATAAACAATGACAACGAAAATAAATATACACATAGTAAGTACAAAAAGACAACAACACGCAAAAATGAAATAAATATATAAATAAATAGTTAATTAAATTTCTTTATACAAATTAATAACTTTTAAAAAGTCCAATACATTATAATGATTTGGTCTCTGGCCCAGAATCTCTTTAAAACTTGCATTTCCAATATGCTCTCTACGACTGCTCTCAAAGGCAGAGCAATCGAGCAGTATGTGTTTAACACTTAGAGAGCAGTTGCAATACTGGCATACTGGTTGCTCTTCATCCTTCAGAAGGTATTGATGAGTCAACCGAGTATGTCCAATCCTCAGGTATTTTTACTCAGACGAGTAAAAATAACCTCAGAACTCCTGTCGTAATATTTATTATGTGTCCAATTTTCTATCATAGGTTTGATCTAATGTAGTTTATTGTGGACTTGTGCATTCCACATATTTTGCCATTTCTCCGCTAGTCGTTTCTTAACGACTAGCTTCAAATCGCCTCCTTCAATATGCATTGTATGCTGTGAAAAACTAGCTGACTTTGCAGCTGCATCAGCTACTTCATTTCCTCTTATACCTACATGGCCTGGGACCCAACAAAATTTTACAGAGAAATTCCTTGCAAGAAGATGGCAAAACAATTTACAAATTTTAATCACTATGGAGTGGAAACTAGGTTCACATGAAATCAAAGCCTGAAGGGAACTAACTGAGTCAGTGTAATTCACGCAACAACGATGACCTTTTCTGAATACATACTTTAAAGCTAGATAAATAGCCTGCAGCTCTGCAGTAAGGATAGATGAATTCGATTCAATTTGTTCTGCCAAGATTTCATCCTGGCAAACAAAAGCTGACATATTCATCCGATTTAAAACCGTCAGTATAAATAGAAATTAAATTCTTGTCTTGGTATTGAATTTCTGCAAAGTGCTGTATGTAGATAGAGTCTGGAGTCGATTTCTTAGGAAACTGCTTTAAGCTATAGTCAACATTTATCTCAGGAATTGACCAAGGTAGTATACAAGCAACCTGAGCCTGTGAAATGTTGCTTGTATTCAGGTCAATCGTGCTGCTTACATTCTCCATTCTTATGTTGAATGTACGGACAGAGCTTGGGCGAGCTACAAATAATGTTATCAGTTGCATATCTGATACCGTACAGTCAACTGATGGTTTAGCTTGAGATTTCTGTTTAATGTAATAATAGAGACACAACTGTTCTCTCCTAAGTGATAGTGGAGGCTCATAAGCATCCACGTACAGACTTTGTACAGGAGAGGTGCGAAAGGCACCAGTGCACAAATGCAGAGCTTGATGATGGATTGGATCCAGCATCCGAAGAGTAGATTCTCGCGCAGAGCCATAAACAATGCATCCGTAGTCCAGCTTAGAGCGGACAAGGGCCCTATAAATCCTGAGCATAGAACATTTGTCTGCTCCCCAGGATGAGCAGCACAGTACGTTTAAAAGTTTCAAAGATTTTAGACATCTACTCTTCAAATTGCGCAAGTGTGGAAAAAACGTCAGTTTATGATCGAACAAAACACCCAAAAATTTTGCCTCATTCACCATTGGGATTTTGATCCCATTTAAATAAATTTCAGGATCCAAGTGTAAACCATGCCTTCGGCAAAAGTGGATGCACAAGGTCTTCTCCGTGTTAAAACTAAAACCATTGGTCTTGGACTAATGGTCTATGCGATTTAGGGAAATTTGCAGTTGTCTCTGGATAAAACTCATGTTGCTAGACTGGCAGGAAATCTGAAAGTCATCCACATACAAAGAGTGTTTCACACTGGGAGGGAGGCAGTTAGCTATGCTATTAATTTTAATTAGGAACAGAGTCACACTCAAAATAGAGCCTTGAGGGACACCTTCTTCTTGGGTGAAGAGCCTAGATAATGTGTTGCCCATCCTGACATAGAATCTTCGATTCTGTAAGAAGTTTTTTATAAAAATTGGCAAATTACCCCTCAAACCGAATTCATACAGATCACAGAGTATCCCGTATCGCCAACAGCGATCATAGGGCTTCTCTATATTGAAAAACACAGACACTAAGTGCTGTCATCTAACAAACGCTTCACATATAGATGTTTCAACGTTTACTAAGTTATCAGTGGTACTTCTGTTCCTACGGAATCCACTCTGATGTGGTGAAAAATATTTCTTTTCCTCTAGTAGGAACATCAGGCAACTGTTTACCATCCTCTCAAAGAGTTTACACAGACAACTTGTCAGAGAGATTTGTCTATAATTGGAGGGATTCTTGTGGTCTTTACCTGGTTTGGGAATGGGAATAATGATATATAGCCTCCAAGAATCAGGAAAAGTATGTTCTGTCCATATTCTGTGAAACAGATGCAAAAGATTAGAAAGGGAATTGTTCAAAAGATTTTTAATCATGCTGTAGTGGATTTTATCCGAGCCTACAGCAGTATTCCCAGAGCGAGAGATCGCTGTATGTAATTCAATTTTAGTGAATGGCACATTATATTCCTCATTAGATGAGGAGTAAAATTTTAAATGTTGTTTTTCACTTTGTGCTTTATAAACCTAAAAATTCCTTGAATACATAATATAGCTGGATGAAGCAGAAAATGTTTCTCCTAATAAGTCAGCAATACCCTGTATGTCGCTGATTATTGTGCCATTATTTTCCAGCATGGACAGAGAGTGAAAAGCATATTTCCTATTAATTTTATGGATTTTATCCCAGACTGCTTTTGAGCTGGTGGAAGATATTATGCTAGAAACATACTTCCTCAAAGAATCCCTTTGGCTTTGCCTTCTTATTCTTCTGGCATTTGCCTTTGCTTTTCGAAAAGCAACTAAATTTCTAGCAGTGGAGTATCTTCTAAAAGTCCCTCATGCTTTCTTTTGTGCTTTAAATGCTGCCTCGTATTTCTGGTCCCACCATGGTTTCGGATGCTTCGGGTATCTTGTTGATGTCTTTCCCATTGTTTTCTCAGCTGCCTGAATAATACTGGAAGTGACAACTTCAACTGCATCATTGATATCAGCAGTATTGACCATTTCCTCGGAGATCTCAGCCATAGAGAAGAATGCAGGCCAATCTGCCGTTTCAAGTTTCCAGCGTGGTAGACGGGCTGTTTCACAGCTTTCTCTGCCTCGGTATTTTAGAAATATTGGGAAGTGGTTGCTAGAGAGTGGATTACATCCAACCTCCCATGTAAATGCTAAAAACAGGTTTGGACTTGCTAAAGTTAAATCAATGGCTGTAAATGTTCTCGTTGGAGCATGGAAGTATCTCACTTCTCCTGTATTAAATAAATACAGTTGGTGATTGCCAATAAATCTTTCAAATCCGACATTAACCGTCAAGGCAGGGGCCTTGACGGTTAATGTCAGGACTGCCCCACATAGGATTGTGACCATTGAAATCACCGAGTAAAAGGAATGGAGTTGGCAGCTGTTCAACTAGTGTATCCAATTCATCCTCATTGACTCTGACATCTGGTGGCAACTATATAGAACAAAGTGTGACAGTTACTTCAATAGAAATTCTGACTGCCACAGCTTGCAGCTCTGTTGTTATTTGTACCGGTAAAGATGGAATGCGATTTGACACCAGAATAGCCACACCTCCACTGGCACAGTTGTGGCTATCATCATCCTTGCGGTAGAGATTGAAACCTTTTAAAGAATTTTTTCTCCAAGTTTTAGATTTGTTTTCTGGAGTGCCACACAGAGAGATGAGGTAGATGATGTCAAGTGTTTAACATCAGAGAAGTTGTTGCAGAAACCACGACAGTTCCATTGGATTATTTTATAATCCATTATGTATTTGAGGCAGCATTTTTAGCAAGGTTATCCCTCTTTAATTTTACAGGGTGTTTTTCTTTTGGAAATGATGTTGGTGGTGTCACCCCCTTATTATTCTCTTCATCAGAGAAGTCGGAGAACTCACTCATAGACTGCGTCTCAGATTTTTTTGATTTAGAGAGGGCTGCTTTTACCCTTTGTTTATTAAGTGAGTTCTTACTGGCTTTTTTGGAACCCACATTCCTAGTTGTTACCCCTGTTTTAGGTATAAGTGGTTTTGCTTTGTTATTCTCTTTCTCTGTTGCTTTGGTAGATGGTATCAGCAGATATTTTTCATGGCAAGTCATAGATTCATTTGGTGAAACAGAAATGTCTGTCTGAACTCCACATGTCTTTGTGGATTTCAGAACAGCAGCAAATGTCTTCTGTTTCACTGGTGCACTTAAAGTAAAAATGCGACGTGCCTCTGAATAAGATATATTATTAACAATCTTCAATCGCTGAATTTCTCTCTCTGCCATGCAGTGCATTTTCGAGAATAGGCAGGATGGTCATCTTTGCTGTTCACACAGCATGGAGAACTTGTGCATTCAGTACTCTCGTGGTCTTCATTTCCACACTGTGCGCATGCTTTTTTTCATCTGCATGATATTTGCGAGTGTCCAAACCGCTGACATTTAAAGCAACGTAGCGGATTTGGAATGTATGGGCAAACTGGGCAACGGAGATATCCTGCCGCAACAGAAGATAGCAATGATGGTTTGTTGAAAGTCAATATAAGGTGTTTTGTTGGTATCAACTTGCCATCACGACGAATCAAAATTCGTCTAACAGCAGTAACATCTTGGTCTGAGAGATCAATCTGAATATCTGATTCATCCTCAGACATCAGATCAGTTTCAGATATCACACCACGTGACGAGTTCAAATTTGTATGTGG